GGGGCGCTGAGCATTAGTACCTCACCTCTACATTTCTGGTCCCTTTAAGATTGATTTCTCTAATACTCTTTGGACAAGGTATGCAGTGTCTTCAGCAACAGGATCTTATCACACAGTTGAATGACCTAGGGGCCTAGGACAATGGCAGTAATCTGGCTTGTTTTGAAGACCCATAGGAATCCTTAAACAATAATGCACAGAGAGGTATCCCATGCCTTGTAGTATGGTTTTCATTCCACACAGAGAGGGTTTACAACTATCTGTATTCCCGTGTCTGTTTTATGTCACTTAGCTTAATGTCCTTCAGTTCTACCCATTTCATGTTGCAGATGGAATTCCCCTTCACAAAAGCTGTGTAATGTTTTGCGGTATATATATGCCACATTTCCTTTACCAGTCCAAGGTGGACACTTACTTTGATCCCATAGCATGCTTAAATGTTCATCAACTATAAAAATCTCCATGACATACTAGTTTTAATCCCCTATGATATATAACCAGTAGTAGAACTGCTACAACACAGGAGATAGTATTTTAAGGTTTAGGGTGTGTTCCATACTGTTTTCTGAAATCATTGTACTAGTCTCCATTCCCATCAACAGCATGTGAGGTTTCCCTTTCTTCCACACCCTCATCATTTTTTATCATGTCTCTATAGTTACAGCCACTTTAGAGGATATGAGATCATATTTCACTGTGGCTTTATTCTCAATTCCTTGCTTCTTAAAGATGTTGAAGCCTTCTTCATATTTCTATTTAGTAAAATTTTATGAACATTCACATGAAAAAGATTGAAACTGGGCCATCATTTCACACCCTATGCAAAGTCAACTCAAAGTGAGTAAAATACTTAAACAGTGACATAGAACTAAATCTGCTACAAGGAAACATAGATGGAAACTCTCTAGCAAGGGACTTGAAAATAATTTGTCTGATAGAGCTCAAAAGAGAAGAAAACAAAGGTAAACACAGACAAATGGAACAGCATCAAAATAAAAAGCATTGAAGAGCAAAAGAAACGCTGGAGTGGAGATACAGCCTACAGAGAAGAAATATTTCCAATAGTTTTATAGCTGTTGAATACTTACGATCTGCATTTTGAAGAGATAAAAAGAAGTGCAAGTGTATATTTATTATCAAATGCTTTATGTTCTTTTAAATCTTTTTAAAAATGATAGTTCAAAGTTTGGTGTAGTTCTATTTCGATAAGAATTAAGAGTCTTAAAGATTAGACATACTTTTTAAATAACTTGAGATTATCTTATATTATTTCTGATTATCTTATATTATATATAATATTATATTATATTATTATTATGTGGCATCTTCACATCCCCATCCCTGAACTCACCACACTGGAAGTCAAGCATCCTGCCTCAATTTTTCTACCTCACAATGGATATATTACACTCACTTTGTACTGATATTTTTCATGTTGATCTTTACAACTGAAACACTGGATTCTTGGAGAGTATCTTATTTTTTCCTCTCAAATTTTTTTATTTTATAATTTAATTATTTTTACATATCAGCCATGAATTCCCATGTTCTCCCCCACCCCCACCTTTCCCCCACCCACCCCCCATTCCCATCTCCTGAAGGCCAAAGACTCCCCTGAGGATTGAGTTCCACCTGGTAAATTCAGTCCAGTCCCAGCCTCCCAGGCTGAGCCAAGTGTCCCTGTATAAGCTCCAGGTTTCAAAGAGCCAACTCATGCAGTGAGTACAGGACCCACTCCCACTGCCTGGATGCCTCCCAAACAGATCAAGCCAATCAACTGTCTCACTTATCCATAGGGCCTGATCCAGTTTGGGGCCCCTCAGTTATTGGTTCATAGTTTATGTATTTCCATTCATTTGGATATTTGTCCCTGAGCTTTATACACCCTTGGTCTCAACACTTCTCGCTCATACAAACCCTCCTCTTTTTCACCAATTGGACTCCTGGAGCTCCACCTGGGACCTGGCCCTGGATCTCTGCATCCAGTTCCCTCAGTCATTGGATGGGATTTCTAGCATGACAATTAGGGCGTTTGGCCATCCTATCACCAGAGTAGGTCAGTTTGGGTATCTCTTGACCATTTCCAGTAGTCTATTGTGGAGATGTCTTTGTGGATTTCTGTGGGCCTCTCTAGCACTTTGCTTCTTCCTATTCTCATGTAGTCTTCATTTATCATGGTCTCCTATTCCTTATTCTCCCTCTCTGTTCTTGATCCAGCTGGAATCTCCTGCTCCCCCAAGCTCTCTTTCCCTTGATTCTTGCCCTTCATTACCCCCATTCACGTCCAGGTTGTTCATGTAGATCTCATCCATTTCACTGTCATTGGGCAATCCCTGTGTCTTTCTTGGGGTCCTGTTTTCTAGGTAGCCTCCCTGGGGTTGTGAGTAGCAGTCTAGTCATCTTTGTTTTACATCTAGTATCCTTCTATGAGTGAGTACATACCATGTTTGTCTTTCTGAGTCTAGGTTACCTCACTCAGGATGATTTTTTTTTATTCATCCATTTGCCTACAAAGCTCATAATGTCATTGTTTTTCTCTGCTGAGTAGTATTACATTGTGTATATATACCATATTTTATTTATCCATTCTTCAGTTGAAGGGCATCTAGGTTGTTTCCAGGTTCTGGCTATTACAAACAATGCTGATATGAACATAGCAGAGCAAGTGCCCTTGTGGTATGATTGAGCATTCCTTGGGTATATGCCCAAGAGTGGTATAGCTAGATCTTGGGGGAGATTGATTCCAAATTTTCTAAGAAAGTGCCATATTGATTTCCAAAGTGGTTATACAAGCTTGCATTCCCACAAGCAGTGGAGGAGAGTTCCCCTAGCGACACATCCTCTCCAGCATAAGGTGTCTTCAGTGTTTTTGATCTTAGCCAGTCTGACAGGTGTAAGGTGGTATCTCAGAGTCATTTTGATTTGCATATCCCTGATAATTAGGTATGTTGAGCAATTCCTTAAATGTCTTTCAACCATTTGAGTTTCCTCTGTAGAGAATTCTTTGTTTAGTTCTATAGCCCATTTCTTAATTGGATTGTTGGATATTTTGATGTCTAATTTCTTCAGTTCTTTATATATTCTGGATATCAGTCCTCTGTCACATGTGGGGTTGGTGAAGACCTTTTCCCATTCTGTAGGCTGTTGCTTTGCCTTGTTGACCATATCCTT